TTCCTGCCTCCTCTGCTAGTTAGTTCCCTTTGTTCACTTACAGAGAAAGTGAGCTCTTATGTGGATGGTTGGTGTTTAAAATCAGTCCTGCTACTTTCCACCTTGTCTTTCTGTCCCCTCTGTTGAATGCCAATGAAAACGGCCCAGGAATCTTTGTTGGAAAGTCTAGCCCCAGTAGAGGCCTTCCCGCTGTCCCCTGTCCTTCCTGACTTCTGTCCACAATTGCCCAGGTGGTAGCCACACTGGTCTAAGCATAAATTGAATTGTCAAGCATCAGGCAGAAGGTACAGAGAAAGCACTAACCAACTGGGCTCTCAATTGTTTATTTCAAATAATAAATTCAAAGAAACTGTATGCTCTATCAATCTCCCTTTCAAACCAACCCAGAATTCTAATTCGAAAACAGTTCACAGCCTAGCCGGCTTGGCTCAATGGATAGAGCGTCAGCCTTCAGACTGAAGGGTCCCAGGTTCAATTCCGGTCAAGGGCACATGCCTGGGTTGCGGGCTCGATCCCCAGTACGGGGCATGCAGGAGGCAGCCGATCAGTGATTCTCTCATCATTGATGTTTCTAACTCTCTCTCCCTCTTCCTTCCTCTCTAAAATCAATAAAAATATATTAAAAAATTGTTAAATCGTGTTCTTGAACAATTGGAAACTTTGAAATATACTGCATGCTAATAATAATGAAATGGCTAGGTAAATTGTGGCTCTTCCATACACTTGTATATTCTATTATTAAAACGGTAGAGGAGCCCTAGCTGGTTTGGCTCAGTGGATAGAGTGCCAGCCTGCATACTGTAGGGTCCCAGGATTGATTCCAGGCAAGGGCACATGCCCAGGTTGCAGGCTCGATTCCCAGTAGGGGGCGTGCAGGAGGCAGCCGATCAATGATTCTCATCACTGATCTTTCTCTCCCTCTCCCTTCCTCTCTGAAATAATAAAAATATATATTTTTTTAAATAGTTTTTTACTGATTACAGACAGGAAGGGAGAGGAAGATAGAAACATCATTGATGAGAGAGAACCATGGATCGGATGTCTCCTGCACGCCCCCCAGTGGGGAAAAAAAAAAAAACAGTTCACAAATTATTTTTGTGATAAGGTAAATATGACAATGATAGTTTTTGAAGCTCTGAATTAGTTCATTGAAAGGAACTTGCCAAGGTTTGCTTGGTCATCAGCTACCAAATGGACTCCTCCATGTGTTATTAAAACGGTAGAGGAGCCCTAGCTGGTTTGGCTCAGTGGATAGAGTGCCAGCCTGCATACTGTAGGGTCCCAGGAGAATCGAACCCAGGACCCTTCAGTCCGCAGGCCGAAGCTTTATCCACTGAGCCAAACCGGCCAGGGCAAAAAGTATATATTTTTTAAAAAATGGTAGAGGAGGCCAGTAGTATAGACATGTGTAGCAGGAAGGGTTACACACTGGTCTGCCCAAAGTGCCCATGCTGATGACCTGTGTTCCCTTGCCTGTTCAGGTCGGAGCTGGGGACCTGGATGGCTTCCAGGCAGACACGGAGGAGGAGGAGGAAGAGGATGGTGACTGTGTGATGATGGACATCTCGGATATTGCTGGTGAGAACAGCCCCAGTCCCTCTTCTCATGCAGGCTGGCAGCAGGGGGAAGAGCACTTGCACTGTTACCTTTTCACTGGCTCTCTTTTGTACATAATGGGGGTTGAGTTAAAAGATTCTGAAAGGCACTGGGCGGGCTGGTTTAATGGTGTGAGTGTGCAGTTGGGTCCAATCCAGGCCCTGGAGGATCTGACTTTGTTTCCTAAGCTACATTTAGGAAACCAAAGAACTGAAGGTTGGTTGCCACCTTAGTGGGTGATGCATGGGCTGTGTTAGGAAGAGTCCTGGAGGTGGGGGTCCTGGCACAAGTGAGGTACCTCTGAACTAAGCTGCTCCAGGGAAAAGGCAGCAAGCAGTGATGCGAGGCTCGGGGAGCTCATGTCCGGTGACCCTTGACAGAGCCACTTGGCTTCGGTGTCCTAGTTTCTTCCCCTTTGCCATGGGGCTTCGGGCCTAGATTTGGCTTTTCCCCTGAGTGAGCTGAAGAGGGGACAGGGAGTACATGCATCTAGAAAAGGGAGATGGGTCTGGGGGCTACAGCCATGCTTCTTCTCTAACCACGGTCGGATCGGGAGATCTTACCCCAAGAAGGCTCTCAGAGTTGTTTCAGGCCCTGGTGACACAGGTACAGACACTAAAGCCCCTACCTGTCTTGCCTTGCAGAGGTCCAGGACCCTTGTGTAACCACTCCCAGTGCTGGAAGGCCTGTGGGAATGGACACCAGCGAGAGCCCCATGCCCTCCAACTCACTCAGCCCCTCCTGAGCACCCCACACTGGCTGGCGTGTATATGTAGAATGGTTAGGGTTTTCTCAGATGCTTCTCAGATACTTGAAAGACCTATGATTCCTGTGTAAAGAGCACTTTGTCCTGCTTCGCATACGCCCCCTCAAGGGTTGGAAAGTATATAGGATGCTTGATTCATTCTTTTTTATATTTGTAAAAATTTCCCCTCGAAGCTGCATACTAATCTGCCCTTTAATAAAGCATTATCGCAGTGTGTTGGCCTGTACGGGGAATCCCAATTGTGCCCTAAGGATCCTGAGCAGGCACTATGATGAAATGCTTATAAATGAACTGGAGCCCTGCCGGTGTCGTGTGGCACCAGGACTGACATGGATATGTATAAACTTATTGTCTAGCCCTGACCTGGTGTGTCTGTCATCTTTTCAACATACCGTCTCTGAGTGGGTGTGTACCTTCACCTGTGGCCTGAGCCCTATGTTGTGCTTGCAAGTGGGTACTGTGGCATCTCCATCAAGCTTTCCACTTCGCAAAAGCACTGTCCCAACTTGGTTGTAAAGTCCTCCGCCTCCACAGTGACCTAGTTCAGGGTGTAGCTTCTCAGTGGGTGCTTGTGCCCGTCAGCTCTTCCTGCCCCTTGGGAAGTGAGCGGGGCATATTTTGGGCTTCTAAGCCCTGAATCCTGGCTTCCAGATGGACTTCAGGGTCAGGCCACATCACAGGAGAGTATTGAAATAGTGGAGCCAACTAAAGATGCTGGAGCCTTGGTCCATGGGGCCCTGGAGCAGCCCCACATTGGGGCAGTGATAGTCCCACAGAGGCGTTTGAGCATGTGTGAGCTGAGATTTTGGCAGAGTTCACATCCTCCATCCAGCCTGGACTCCTGCCGACCCCTCATATCTAGACAGTAGAGGGTTGATTTTGTTCCTACTGCCCCCATGGGAGAAGAGCCACCAGGCATATCAGTGTGCAGAACAGCTCGTATCAGCTGGATACAACCAGACAGGGCAACTGAACCCTGTGGCTGTGTGGTGGCCAAGACTCCTCAGGTTTTTCGCTCCCACAAACACCCTGATCCTCCTCCAGGAGCCCCATGAGGATGGGGCTGAGGAACACCCCAGTTGCAGGTGAGAACATGAGCCTTGGCCAGAAACTCCTACTGGAGGTGTAAGGTGCAGCTGAATACAGGCTCGTCCTCAGGATAGAGGCACATGTGTTAAACCTGTGGACACGACTACCTGTAAAGTATCCTTAAGCCTGTTTTAGTTGGGTATCTGACAACTGACAGTTGAATCCTAGCAGCAGTTGGGGACAGGGAAGGGATGGATCTAAGTGACAGGGTGAGACCATGCTGGGTTCCCAAGATATGGCAGCAAAGGAGACAGGCCTAGGTCCAACATCTGCTGGTGGCCTATGTGTGAGGCAAAGGCATGCATGGGGGCAACTTGCTTGCTGAGGTTACAAGGGATTATTGCTTTTAAAATAACATTTGGGGCCTTGAAGCTTCATGTCTGTCACATAGCTGGCAGTGGCCAGAGGACCAGCCACCAGGTCTCCATGCAGGGGAGAATCTAACAGAAACCGAGCCAGCAGCCCACCTGGGGCTGAGAGGGGAGGGGACGATCCAGATGAGTGATTGAGGGGGCATCTCCCAGCCAGGCTATGACCAGAAGTTCCTTTGACACTCTTGGCCTTGGTTTCCATTTTAGTTCCCTATAGCTGTAACCCCGTAGTCGGCAAACTGGCTCACGAGCCAATGCGGCTCTTTGGCCCCTTGAGTGTGGCTCTTCCTAAGCCTTAGGAGTACCCTAAATAAGTTAGTAACAATGTACCTACCTAGTTTCAGTTTAAAAAATTTGGCTCTCAAAAGAAATTTCAATCGTTGTACTGTTGATATTTGGCTCTGTTGACTAATGAGTTTGCCGACCACTGCTGTAACCCACCACTACAAATGGCTTAAAAAAAAAAAACTTGTTCTTACGGTTCTGGGTATCATCAGACATGGGTCTCACTTCTTTAAAATACAGATGTGAACAGGGCTGGTTCCTTCTGGAAGCTCCAGGGGAGAATCCATTTCTGTGCTTTTCCAGCTTCTAGAGGCCACTACATTCCTTGGCCTGTGGCCTTTTTCCATCTTTGAAAACTGCAGTGTAACATCTTCCCATCTCTTCTACCTCCTCCTTCAACATATAAGAACTCCTGTGATGACAATGGCCCATCTGGAAAACCCAGGACAATCTCCCATCTCAAGGTCCTTAATCAACACAAAGTTCCTTTTGTCACATAAAGTAATATTCACAGGTTCCAGGGGTGAGGAGGTGGACATCTACACGAACTGTTCTGCCGGGCCTAAGAGGCCCTAGCCCAGTCGTGGGCAAACTACGGTCCGCGGGCCGAATCCGGCCTGTTTGAAATGAATAAAACTATTGAAAAAAAAGACCGTACCCTTTTATGTAATGATGTTTACTTTGAATTTATATTAGTTCACACAAACACTCCATCCATGCTTTTGTTCCGGCCCTCCGGTCCAGTTTAAGAACCCATTGTGGCCCTCGAGTCAAAAAGTTTGCCCACCCCTGCCCTAGCCCCACAGCCCAGGATCCCTGGGGTACCCTCCCTCAGCAAGGTGGGCTCATCCACGGGGTGCCCTACAATACATGGCTGGAATTCACCACCAGGAGACTAGTCAAACAGCCTGTTTATTTGGATTCATAACTTAGTGTTACAGAACTCTGCCCAGGCCCAGCATCTCTATCTTATGCCACTATCACCAGCAGTTCCACAGGACAGCCTCAGGGCCAGCCATGGGGCCTGGACCCAAGCGGCAGGCCTATTCCTATCCAGGGAAGTGCCCGGGTCTGTCATGCCTCGAGTTCCGTTAATTAGGTTAAATAGCAGCTAGAGAATGCTACCAAGGACAGCACAGCAGCTGTTGCTTGAAAGTCCTCAGTGGCGGTCACAGGCCAACCAGTGGCTCTCCCTTGCCCATGGGCTGGGCAGTCCAGAGGAGGCTGGGAGGCCTTGAAGTGGAGGGAGAATGAGGACGTGAGCAGAGGTGGAGGAAGCAGGAGACAGACCCATGAGGGCTGAAGCCAACCCTGCTTTTATTTCACGAGAGCTTCTCGATGGCCAACAGGAGCTCGGGCTTCAGGATAGATGAGTCTGGCTTAGCCCCCGCGGCCTTAATGTCCTCTAGCACCGCCATGTCCCACGAGAAGGTCAGGAGGGCTGAGGGCACCTGTGGTGGGGAGAGAAATTTCAGCTTTGTTCTGGCCTTTACATGACAAAGCTCATCTCTTCACCTTTAAATCTTCGTGTTGGAATCAGGGCCACACACCCCAGGACTACTCCCCTCTGGCGACAACAGGACGGCCTTCACACAGTCGGTCCATTCCTGAACCAGTGGCTCCTCCTACAGAGGACCCGGGCTCAGGGACACCTCAGATTTGGCTAAGACTCTCAGTGCTGGGCATCCGTCAGGAAATCCCCACATTTTCAATCCCATCTGGGTCCTGCTCCTCAGAGGACTCGAAATAACACACTTGCTACCTTCCTTTCCATTTTAAAGGTGGGAAACTGAGGCACAGAGAAGTTACTCGGGGTTACACTGCTAGTAAAGGGAAAGGTAGGACTGAGGGAGCGTGGTTCTGGGACCCCTGCTCCTAGCACCACCCCATACTGAAGAGGGCCGCCCTCATGGGGAACCTGTGCAGATTCAACAAGAACCTGGAGATCCAGCATGCGGGAGCTCATCACTCACCAGCCCACACTCATTGAAGGCCAAGTTCTCATCCTCCGACAACTTCTGCCCACACGAGGCCAGCAGCTCAAAGGGCAGCCAGTCGTTCTGCAGGGCCTCCCGGACAAAGCTGTACAGTGCTGCCACCCGCTCCCGGGCATAGAAGGTCCCTGAGGGGTGGAAGAGTCAGCGTGGGGCTGGAGATCCTGGGAACCCCCAGCCCAGACAAGCTGCGCCCAGAGAAGCTCAGACCAGAAAGGCCTTCCACTCCTGCTGGAGGCACAGCAACCCACAGCTGCAGTTGTACCACGTCCCTCAGCCCCATAGCAGACACCACCTCCCAGGCCTCACCCTGCCCCAGGGAAGCACGCACCCTGGAGGAGGCAGCCGTCTGGGAGGCGCACACGCAGCAGTGTGTACGTGTACTTGCGCATCTCCCTCTGCTCCTCCTTCTCCCGCATGGCCTTGGTCCGCAGCATGCTCAGCCGCTCCACCGCCTCAGACCTGAGCTTCTGCTCCCGTTTGGCCTCCTCAGTCGTGAGGTTGAAGAAGTCGGGGGGCAGGTCAAACTGGGAGGCCATGGGTGAGGGCCGGAAGACACGGCGTTGGCGGATCAGTGTGGCCCGCACAGGCTCGCCGCACAGCAGCTGCTCCTTGTGTCTTTCCAGGCTCTCGGGTTTGGCCAAGGCGGCCTCGCTTAGCACATAGAACTCTTCGGGGCCCTCTGGGATACGCAGGGATGTCATTGTGATGTCACTGTGCCACAGCAGGAAGACCCCGCGCTGGACACCACCACCACCACCCCCGACTCCCACCTCTCAACTTAGCCAAGGCTCTTCTCTACCCAGCTTACCCTGATCAGGAACTGGTAACAATGTCTTCTGGAAGCCAATGGCCTCAAAAAACTCGTGGGCCCCTTCCAGGCAGTTAATGCGCTCCTGGGAGCAGAGCCAGAAGTCATGCAGGGCCCTTGGGCCTCCTCAAGCCCAACCAGCCTTGCTGCCCAGCCCATTCCACCAGGCCCAGCATCCCCCTTTTAGAGCAGCTGCTTCCTGCTGGACGGGATGAACCCCCCTCCTAAAACTGCCTAAGGACAGGTTCTCACAGCTGGTAACAGAGGATGTGGGACCCCAAAGGCCAACAACGGTGGGCGGAGGAGGGGCAGAAACCAGGGGAGGGCTGCATACGGGGGGTGGCAGTGGGTGTCCTGCCAGCAGCACAGGTAACATGGGCCAGGGTGGCGGGACCCCTTGATTTCTCCACAGAAGCCAGAAGTCTGTTTGTATAAGAAATCCCCCCAGTGCTGATGCGATCCCAACTAAAAAAAGTCAAAACATGCCACGGGTGGTGGGGAATGCAGATTAAATATAGCTGTGGTGTATGACCTATGTTCATAAAACCCCCTCTCCACATGCCACCTCTGCCTACCTCAACCGGAAACCCCTGGAGGAGCGATCCCACTGGCCCCACCGCCAGACTGGGCCCTGTGTAACTGGAGGCCTGGCCACGCTGGCTACACAGGCTAAAAGTCACTCAGCACAGCCCTCACCTGGAACACCTTGTTTTGCAGCTTGATCTTCCGGTACTTCTCCTCCTCGGGGTGCAGATGGATATTGTCCAGGTACCTAGGGCAGAATTGGGGATCCGGGACAGGCCAGGGTGGTCTGACTGGCTCCTCTGTACCTCCCACCCCCACATGGATAGCAGCTCAGAGCCACACCCAGGCTTGTGGTAAGAGAGATGTTGGGGAGAGGGGTGCCATCACACCTGGACACCTCATGGAGCTGGACCCCTGGTGCCAACAGCCTGGGCCTGCATAGGACACCACTGCCCCCACCACCATTGCCACCTGGGGCCTATCGCTGTTCCTGCCTCCACTGAAGGACACCAATGCGGGACAGGGCCAATGGGCCACCAGTGTCAGCTTGGGGGCTCATGAGCAAAATGGACTTCCAGCCCTGGCTGGGTAGCTCAGTTGGTTAGAGAACCATCTTAATACACCAAGGTTGTGGGTTCGATACCCAGTCAGAGCACATACAAGAATCAACCAATGAGTGCATGAATAAGTGGAACAACAAATCAATGTCTCTCTCTCTCTCTGTTTCTCTCTCTATCCCTTCCTCTCTCTCTCTGTCTCCCTCTCTCTCTCTCTAATCAATAAATAAAATTAAAAACAGACTTCCAGCACTCCCCGACCTACTCAGTCAGGGAAGTGGGGTGGGAACTCACCTACTTCCCATTCTTCTGATGATCCCAAAGGGAAGCCAGGGTCAGAAATCCCCAATTCTGTAAACCCTTTCGTTTTACAGACAAACAGAGGCCCCAAGAGGCCAAGCCCCTTTCTCATGGGCTCAGGGGCAGTGAAGGGTGGGGCCTGGCTCCCAGGGCCAGGAGCCTTCTGGGCCCCCTCAGCAAGTTATGCTGGAAGCCCAAGAGGCTGGCCTCCCAGTGGGGGGAGAGGGCACCCACTCACTTGGCGATGGTGTCCACACCCAGCTTCACCCTGTCCCGGTCTTTGTTGAACGTGTGGATCTTCATGATGGAGGCAGCTACTGGGTCAGTGGAGAAGTGCTGGGAGGAGTGAGGAAAGCATGTCAAAAAGTGCTTACCTCATGGCCTGGAGGCCTCACTACTCAGGAGGCAGCAGTAATAATACTAATAACAGTCTCATGGTGGACCGGCCAGTAGTATTTAACTCAATTCTATGGACTCAGCAGAAAAAAAGAAAAGCCCTTTGACAACTCCTTCCTGGGCCTCAGCTCTGCCCTCACCTCTAGGGAAGATGGGGTCGTCGGCAGCCCAGAATATGCAATGGCATTATGGCTGCTGACCAGCAGAACTTAAAATGGGACATTAGCCTGGACAATCCTGCTAGGCCAGGGTAATCATAAGAGTCCATCAGGAGAGAGAAGCAGAGAGATGGCAGCCGGACAAAGACTTTGCCTGGCATCGCTAGATGTGAAGGTGAAAGAAGGAGCCACATAATACAGGTGACCTAGAAGCTGGAAAAGGACAGGAAATGGACTGTCCACAGAGCTTCAGGAAGGAATGCAGCCCTCCTGCCACTGGTGAGAGCCATGTCACATTCTGACTTCAGAATTCTAAGAGACTAGACGTCTATTTGAAGTCCCCGAGTTTGTAGTAATCTGTTATGATGGTTAATGAGAAACTCAGACCCAGGGCAAAGATATTCGTGTGTTCTTTTTGTTCTTCTAAGTTTCAAATTACTTCCAAATTCAGTTTTAAAAAAGAAAAGTAACGGAGTTCTTTTTGTACTGATATAATAGCTGGCAGTTCCTATGTTAAACGTGAGTGGTACGTTACCTTTTATGGAAAACAAAACAAGTGAAGGGGAGATACAAGGATGTCAGTAGTTTGTTCATATCTGAAATGTCTCTGAAAAGGAACTTCAACCACCCACAGAGGTTGCATTCTGGAAGGGTAGCTGGGAGGTGGAGGGAAGTGGTTTTTGTCTGCCTACCCTTTTTGTATCCTGAATTCTTATCCCAAGTAAGCATTACCTCTTTGAACAAGTGACAACAGACACAACATACACAGGTGAAGACACTACGAAGGATCTGTACCACTGGGGCTCACTGAAGGCAGCCCTGACCTGAAACCTCTAGGTGAGGGATGGGGGCACGGGGCCTCTACTCACTGAGAGAATGGCCTCCTTGATTCGGGTGTCCCGCTGGTCCTTCCTCAGGATGGCCCCTGTGAGCGGGCAGGTGAAGTACACTCCAGGCGCCGCCAGGTTTGTTGAGCCTTCCTCTTTGGGCTCAGCTATCTAGGGCGATTGGGATGAAAGTGTCTGAGCCTAGACAGTGGACAGAAGCCACCTCAAGTCACTGAGTGCCACAGCCTTGAAAGCATGGCCCTGGGAGTCAGACATCCCTGGTCCCAACGCTGTCCCCTCTACCATGAAACACCTTGGCCTGTGACCGAGCCCCTCTGAGACTGTTTTCTTATCTGTGAAATGTCTGCAGGACCAGCTCAGAATCCAACAAGGTAAGGAAGGAAAGAAGTGTGTAGCAGCCTTGGACACCACACTCAGTGGCTTCTGCTGTTCCGGTCCCTGCTCCCTGGTAGAGACGGGGCTTTGTGGTGAGGAGCTGAATTATGGTGCCCTGGATGAGTCCTGGCCCCTCTCTGACCCTCGAGTCCTAGGCAGTATCTAGAGCCTCTTCCACTCTAAAATCCAGTGAGAATTCGAGGGGTGAACTGCAGGACCATCCTTTCTGCAGAGCTCTCTCCTTCAGGAAGGCCTCTGATTCCACCAGTCTCCAGAGAGCCCTCCCACCTCCCAAGAAGGCTACAGAGGCCAATGCTTTGGAGTCCCAGAGACGGGTCCCCATTCTGTCCCTGATGATTTTGAGGTGCAGGACTAAGGACAGCTGCCTTCACCTTTCTGAACCTCAGTTTTCTCTTCTGAAAAGTATGAACTATAACAGCATCCACCCTCATGGGATTAGGAAGCCCGGAGCGGGGGGGGGTGGGGGGGGAGTGAACCAACAAGCTAATGAGGTCCAATCGTACCCTCAACACCCAAGCCTGGCATCATTAGGTGCTGAGCGTGGAGATCCCAGTCAATACTGCACTCAACCACAACCTGCCTCCACCTTTCAAGGCAGGGGTCCCCAAGGCCAGAGGTGACCTCTATCCACCCTGACATCTCTTCTGCATCCCCACTGTCCCAGCACCAGGTGCTTACAGCCCTCTGCTGGGCACTTAGCTGGTGATGAGGAAATGGCCAATTAGACAAATGCAGGCAAGAACTTGGGGGGCGTGATCCCAGCTCCCCTGCCCCAGGTCACCCCTTGGAGTATCATGCTGCCCTGTGGATGCTTTTACCATGTTAGTCCCCGAGTCTTGCGAACTCCCACTCACAGATGCTTCAGCTGGAAGTTCCTTTCTCACTGGAGGAAGAGGCAAAGGAGGGTCAGTGTGTGGCCCCACTGGGGCTGGCCCTCAAGTCCTAGTCCTTCTAGCTTAAGGTCCTGACCCATCTTCCTGCAACAATGCTCCATGCCCCCAGGCTTCACCTGACCATCTAATGATGACTTTCAACATCCTCCTCCTCCCTCCCTCCCTTCTTCAACCTCCCTGACCTACATGGCACCCAGACGACATCAGACCCTTATTCCTTTTCACCCTTAATTTCCCCTCTCTCACAACTGTGATTTTAAAGCCCCTCAAAGTCATGGGGGTTATGTAATTATTTTCATCCAGGACCAAGCACAGGCCTGTGAACAGGCCTCAAGAATGAAGGGGCAGAGGCCTCACTCCACCTCCACTCGCCTCCCCCCACTGCAACCCAAGGACAGCGCAGGTCACCCTGGTTTCGGATGAGGTCCTGTGACGTGGGGCCCCGAGCCCTGGGCTGCTTCTGCTCAAGTCGGGCCAGGGCTGCTGCTGCTGCCATCTGTGCCTCATTGGTGGGTCCCTGGCGGGGCTGCTGGCGTGCCGGCTGGCTGGTTTTTTCTTTGGGGGCCTTCTCCCTGAGGAGAGACATAGTGGAAGTGAGGTGATGTGGGGTCAGACAGAAGAGCCTCTGCCCCTCTCCCATTTCTACTCCTGCTCCATCAGACAGATATGTCCCTTTTTCCCAGGCCCCCACTCAGCCCCACCCCATGGTTCTAACACAGACAGCAGAACCACTGGGGCAGATTTCACTCCCAGCTCGGCCCCTTTGGGCAAGTCCTGCAGTGGGCTGGATCTCAGAATCAACATCTGTTAAATGGGGTAACAAGTAACAGCACCCACCCCCTGCAGGAGGGCCATCCCGGTGAAGCGTGTGTGACAGCACCCTACTGTCTTCAGGAACTGATGAGACTCAGGTGTCACTTCTCTCCTTGCTCCCTCCTAAGCATCTCCACCCTTACTGTCTAAAACAGTCAGCAGTTGCAGGTTTTTGTGTTTTTCTTTTAAAGAATATTTTATTGCGCTAGCTGGTTTGGCTCAGTGGATAGAGTGTTGGCCTCCGGAATAAAGGGTCCTAGGTTCAATTCCAGCCAAGGGCACATGCCTGGATTGTGGGCTCAATCCCCACCCCCAGTAAGGAGTGTGTAGGAGGCAGCCAATCAACGACTCTCATCATTGATGTTTCTCTCTCTCTCACTCCCTTCTCCCTTCCTCTCTGGTCAATATATATCCTATATAATAAAAGAGAAACATGCAAATTAACCATCCCTCCACTACACTCAAGCCACACCCACAAGCCAATCAGGAGTGAGTATGCAAATTAACCCAACTAAGATGGCAGCAGCCACGGAGCTGGAACAAGCAGGACGCTTGGTTGCCCCTGGCGATGGAGGAAGCCAAGCTTCCTGCCTGCCCTGGCCAGCCCTGGGCTCAGCTCAAGGCTACAAAGTTTCAATTATAGAAGGTAACTAAATTCCACAAAAAAGAAAAAAAGAAAAAAAGGAGAGGCTGGGAGCTTGGGTCACCGGGGCATGGCCAGCCTGAAAACAGCCATCAGCCCCTCTCCCAGGCTGGCCAGGCACCCCAGTGGGACTCCCACCCTGATCTGGGACAGCCTTCAGAGCAACCCAGCCAGCCCCCACCCGTGCACCAGGCTTCTATCCTATATAAGGGTTATAAGAAAATTGACGCTAACAGCAGAACGACTGGAAATGACTGGTCCATGACTGGAAATGACTATGACACATACTGACCACCAGGGAGCAGACGCTTAATGCAGGAGCTGTTCCCTGGTGGTCAGTGCGCTCCCACGGGGAGCTCTGCTCAGCCATAAGCCAGGCTGATGGCTGCCAGCACAGTGGTGGTGGCGGGAGCCTCTCCCACCTCCTCAGCAGTGCTAAGGATGTCCGACTGCAGCTTAGGCCTGCTCCCCTCTGGCAAGTGGACATCCCCCAAGGGCTTCTGGGCTGCCAGAAGGATGTCTGACTGCCAGCTTAGGCCAAATCCCCCGGGGAGCAGGCCTAAGCCAGCAGATGGACATTCCTCAAGGGGTCCCAGACTACAAGAGGGCACAGGCCAGGCGGAGGGACCCCCGAGTGCACAAAGTTTTGTGCACCGGGCCTCTAGTGTGTGTGTTTTGTGTGTGTGTGTGTGTGTGTGTGTGTGTGTATAAAGACATCTTTTTAAAAAAAGAATATTTTATTGATTTTTGGAGAGGGAGATGGCAAAACATCAATTGGCTGCCTCCTGTATACCCCTCTACTGAGGATCGAGCCCAAAACTTGGGCATGTGCCCTGACCTGGAATCAAACAGACAACCTTTTGGTGCACAGGACAAGGCCCAACACACTGACTATGGCGCAGTTACAATTTCATTAACTGAGCACCTACTGTGTGCCAGGCAGCACACAGTACGTTTTCCTCATACCAACACCCCTCTGAGGGCAGTCTTAAGATCTTTTGCAAGTGCCAGAGGGACACAGAAACTCAGACACCACGCAAGCCCTGGGTTAAGCATGGTACGAAGATCTGGTTTAATCCCTCCTCCACCCACTTAGGAAATAAGTGATGTGATGACCCCAGGGGATGGATGGCTTCTTAATCTACTTAGCAGGAAAATGAGCTTGTTTTGAATGTGCCAGCAGAGAAATCCTTCTTCCCACCCTGGTCTTATTCACCTACCTCACTTGCCTTCTTCCTCAAGGGTTCTCCCCCAGCCCCAGTAATTGGGATCATCTGTGCTAAGTTTGTAAAACCTTCCCAAGAGTTCACGGCCTCACTCCTCCCACTCTGCTCAGATATGCGGGCAGCCCCCTCTTCTTTGTTCCAAGGCTTCTGGGACCTGCTTCCTGCCCATCCCTGCCCTTCTCACCAACCTTCCCCACAGCCGAGAACCTAATGCTGAAGAAAAAATGAGTCACATAGACCCACCCTAGTCCCATGTGATATTCCGATCTTTCTATAAAAATGCTACTTTTCAAAACACCTCACCCATCCCTTTCATGGCTCCACTGGGCAGCCAAAGGGATCCCTCTAAAACCTGTCAGCGCTATCACACCTCTGAACACAGTCCTCCCCACACCTGCACAACAGAATCCTAAAGCCACCATGTCCCCATGGGCCATGCACACCTGCCTCTCTCCCTGGTCTCCCTGCTGTTGTTCTCACAGGGCCAGCTGGTTCCTGCCACAAAGCCTTTGCGCTTCCTGTGGCGTCTGCCTGGAATGTTCCACTTGGGGGTGGGGTGTGGAAAGGAGGTCTGGGAGAGGGTAGAGAAGCTTCATTATGTGTATGTGCAACCTCACTTCATCCAGCTCTG